TTTGGCTGGATTTGAAGCTTTCGCTGGGGAACATAGGAGAAGAATGGATGAGAGGAAACGAGAGAAAGAGAGGCAGCTTGTTTTTTTTTGTCAGCCCTTTTTTTTTTTTAATAAGAAAGAGTATTTATATGTCAAGTCATTTCTCTGGTTAGGTTAAAACTCTTTGGTTTAATTTTGGTTTAGTAAAATTATTTTGGTTAAAACTTTAGGTTAAGTAGACTTCTTTGGAAGTCTACTATAATATTTTTCATTATTGTTTAAATAGTTTATAATATATAATCTAAAATTTTTATTTTCATTATATATTTAGTAGACTTAGTATAAAAATTTTGTTGATAAAATTTTAATTCATAAATAAATAGATTTAATTTTTTTTTTTTTCAAATTAGTTAATTATAATTTTAAAATATTTTTTGAAAAACACCAATTAATGTAGACTGAAATAGACGTCTACATATAAGTAGACTTTACTGTAAGTCTACTATACCTAAATATTGGCGCCAATATGGAAAAATAGGCTCCAAAATTCATTTTCACTTCCCGCTTAGTTAATTTAATTTTAAAATAATATATTTTGGTAAACACAAATTAACGTAGACTGAAATAAACGTCTACATATAAATAGACTTAACTGTAAGTCTACGAAACCCTAAACCCCAAACCTCAAACCCTAAACGTTTGATTGATTATTAAAAAAAAATCTTAGTCATTGTACCAAATATCATATATACAAAATATAATCTACTCAACATTAAATATGCAATTTTGAATCATTAAAACAAAATAATTCTAAATCTAGAATCTAACCCTAAGAATCTAACCCTAAGAATCTAACTCTAAAAGACATAACATGTTAGAACCCTTGGTTGCTAAACTATTAACATTGTCTACCACATAGTTCCAAAATAAATATACATTCTTTTAAATTGTTCAATTATATGAAAATTTAATTTATATACCTCATACTAACCTTTAAATTGATGATTTATTAAAAAAATTACCAAAAACATTTTTTCTACAATTTTAAAATTAAATTATTTGATTAAATTAAGATGTAGACTAAATAATAAGTCTACATTAGTTTACACAGTAGATGTTAATGTAAGTCTACCTAGTTGTAGACTTCTTTCTTAAAGTGTAGACCTCCGAAGGACAAAATCGTAAAATATATTCCGCGTCTTTTGTTTGTTCATAAGGGTTAAATAGTAGTTTTAACACCCTTTTAGGTTGGGTTTGCAATTGATTGAATATGGGGTACATCTTTAGAGTTAAGATGAATATTTGGGTTGGTTTTGGCAATTCCCCCATGAATCTAATGATTCCTCTTCACGGTGATACTTGGCGTTGCCATTTATTCAGAGTTTTTCTTTTCTTTCCAACTCATATTAATTCTCTGTATAATCTTTTTTTTTGGTCAGCTACTCTCTTTGTTTCAAAATAATCTATATACTAAAAATTTTACACTTATTAAAAAAACATGTAAATTTTTGTAATAAATATATTATTTTCTATGTTTAGTTATTTCCTATGATTTTTAACCAATCAAAATTTAGTAAACATAATTAATATCTTTGAAATTGACAATTTAACATTATTATCTACATAGAAAATATAAACATAGATCTTTTAGAAACTATTTTTTTTTTCTAAAACATACAGATCATTCTGAAATGGAGAAAGTAATTTTCTGTGTAATCAAAAAGTTTCTAAAGACATCTCTAATGGTTGGCTTCATTTTCTGTTTCAAAAATGCATTTTATTCAAAATGAAACAAAAAATGAAGCATGTCTTCTTTAATGGTTTGCTTCATTTCTTTCGTGTAAAAAAAATTATTTCAAGTATATTCTATGTTCACTTTATCATTAATTATTAATAGCACTTTCTACTTTTTCACATTTATTATTTTTACTCAATTATTTTGTTTTAACAATAGTATAGCACAATTGTTATTTAATATACATTCAATATTATCATATAAGAAATTTATTACATAATATGAATAATCAAACATGGAACACCATATTTGTTTTTTGAAAAAGACATCTTATATATATTTTTCTTTAAATGATTGATAAAAATTTTAAAAGTAAAATATGAGCTTATTTATCTTCCATTATTTTTAAACGAGTTAAAATTATTAAAAATGAATATCCTTATAGTTTTAAATATTAATACCTAATTAAATAAAATAATAATCGAAATTATAAATTTATTAGATAATATTAACATATTTAATTTATTTTGATAAAAGATAAGAATAAGTTAAAGTTAAGGATTAATTCATGATTTAGAAAGTTCAGATTAAAAAATGAAACAATAAACAGTATTACTTTGAATTTGAAGCAGTATTGTTTATTGATTCATTTTAAAGCAAGAAATGAAGCACTATTAGAACAAAAATTGCTTTAAAATGAAATAAAAAGTGAAAAATAAAGTTTCATTGGAGATGATCTAATGAAACCCAGAAAATCTTTGGACTCAGGACTTTCCTTTGGACGGGTAGCAAGACAACACGAGTCGATGCAAAAAAGCATGATGCGATGTGCTTGATTAACTTTTTTCTCATTTTAATCACTGCACACAGATTTTGACTTTGAATAAAGTTAGTTTTTTGTTTCAAAATTACATTTCTTGTAACAAAAATACATTTTTTACTTTTTGTTTTTTCAATTTCGTTAGTACACAGTTCAATTCGATTGTCATGAACTTACACAATACAGAAAAATTCGAATCTGCATTTCGGATTTGAATATATATATATATATATATATATATATATATATATAATATTAAAATTTAACCTGCATTTGCAGTGTAGTCTTTCTCCAAAAAAATTTAACATAAAATTATACAATATTTACATTTATATATGAACACAAATTAATATTAATGTTTAGTAATTAATATCTTAAATTTTAAAACTGATATAGAATTGATTTTTCTTCTTTATAATACTTCAATTTTGAATAACAACATTTAAAATTTACAACGACATTTGGTTCTTTATCGTCACTCAACCACTTTCATCCCTAGCTAGATACTTAAAAAAAAATTAAAATAATTAATAAAAAAAAGTAAAAATGATAAAAGATTACCAAAAAAAATTCAAAAAAAACTTTTGATACTCTTTAGATGACATAATAACACTATTCATTTAAACTATTTAACTCTCGTTTAAGTTTTAACGCTAAATAATTAGATAGTTAAATTTATTGATATACTATTTTTATTTTGTTTCGAACCATATTGAGATATTGGGGTTTTGTGGCTGTTATTAGAGATGTACAATGGTTAAAAATATTCAACACCATAATTTACACCTTTTAACAATTCAGATCATGTTTTTCTTTCTTACACCTATTATTTCAACACAAGTTTTTACACTTACAATAGTTTTTTTTTTGTTTTAAATCAACCTTATCTTATTATTTTCATTTTATTTATAATTTCATATTAATATAATAAAAACTTATAAATTGTAACTTAATCAAAATAACTAATAACTAAAAACTTTTAAAAGTAAATTATATATTTCATTTTTGAAAATAATAAATATGGGTGAATATTAAACTGATTATTGTTGAAATTTTATCACAGAAAGATGTATTTTGGTAGCCAAATAGATGAAACAAATTCTATTGATAGAGTTTTTTAATAAGTAATTCTGAACTTAAAATATTCTTATTTTACTATCCAATTTTTGAGTTTAAATAATGGGGTGAAAATACTAAATAAGTATAGCCAATAAGAAAACAGTATATATGCCAAATTTTAAATTAAAAAAAACATTATCCTTATCATCTAATCAGTTGATGACACATGTTCGTTTTGTCCCCAATTTTATTGATTAAACACGGTTGAATACTTGAATCTTTTCGTTTAAAGAATCCAAGTAAATCTTATTGATCAGCTTACAATTGCAATCAACAGGTTATTTTTTTTTTCTTTATTCAACTACCAATTGTAAATAGTCTCAGTAGCAAGTAGATGTTTCAAAAGTAAAGATCCAAGGCCCAGTATAGACTCAAATAACCTGACAGGCAGGCCTAGAATAATGAATTTAAAATCCATGTGTAGCACAGTAGCAGTGGTTTGATGACTTTACAGTTTAATTCCAAATGTTGAGTTACTAATCATGTGTGTACTTTAGTGTTACTAGGACAAATATGCTATAAATATTTATTTATAAGATTCATATTCTAGAAGATCATGGATATCTATAGATTTAGGTCTGAACTCTGAACAAAGTGAGCCAGCCAAAGCACACAGATTTTAAATATCGTCTTTCCTCGTTGCAGGTAGATCACTTATCAAATAAAAATAACGATGAGCAAACTTCCATAGCATAGTCTCAGCTCCTCAGTTTTCATAATTAATTTAAGCCATCATTCTCTTACTAAATTATTATACATAAGCTAATATTTAATAAATACCATAAATTAATAAATTTTCATCAGACTGAGCCAATTCAAAATATAAATAAAATTGATAAAATAATAACTTTATTAAAAATATATGTAAATATATAAGCCTATAAAAATTTAAAAATTAATAATTTATATGTACTACACAGTTTATACGAAGAAAGAGGCTTTGGACAATCGGTCAACGTACGTTAGGGGTACCGACTCAATCAACCTCTTGACCAAGCTAACTTCACCGGAAACTTGTTCAAGAGTCTCATCAGTCACGAACCTTATGGCTATACATTAATTTTTCTAAGAAAATAAAATAGTTGATTGGATACGCCAAGTTAAAAGTGATAAACTATGATGACGTGCTCGTAGTAAAACAAAATCAAGTGATTATCGTATTCCCCCAGGTATTAAACAGACAAACTAGCTACATAACCCAAATACAAACTTAATTTTCTTCTTATAAACGGCAACAAAATAACAAAGTGTAATACTGACATGAAACGTGTTCATCCTCCATAAACCGAACAAGAATCGATTACTATTACCATGAACCAAAGTATATTGATCGGTTCAGGTCAACACTCAGGCACCAGGAGCCGCATCTTTAGCCCTACCGTGGAAATATCCACCATACTCTCTAGCGTAATCTTTGACATGAGAGGCCGTGTCATAGATCCTACTACGTGCATAATCCATCTGATCCGATCCAACCGGATGCATGCCCCGGTAATAACGGTACGTCCATGACGCCAAGGCCAACGTTCCAAGAAGAAACCCAAAGACCGATAAGAACCCACCAACAACGACAAAAACAGGAAACCAGATCGGGCTCGAGATGATGATCAACGGAAGAAACAATATGAAGCCAACGGCTGCTGCGGTGACGGATATGCCGAGAAGGAAAAGGAAGGTTCCAACGGAGACGAAGAGAGCGAGGTAACTAAAGAGCTGTGAGGAGGTTGGTGAATGAGATTGGAGAAGGCGGAGAAGCGAAGCGTAGGGGCTGTTGTTATCGGTGGTGCCACCGTGGATGGGGAGATATTGAGCGTTACCGCTTGAAAATGTTTCCGGCATTGTAGAGAGTGATTGTTATTTTGTGTGGGTGACAAGAGAACAAAAAAGAGGAAAGGCTAAAACATATGGAGACAAATTCAGATTTGAGGTGGCATTCATGCAAGGTTCGCAAACACGTGGAGATTGGTCTTTGTTTTTTCGTTGTCTTAAATCAAGAGTTTGGTCTAGTGAAAATGTAATTGTTGGTTTTATTTATCTGCCACAACAAATTCAACAATGTAAAAGGCATATAGCATGAGGGATTTAATATTATTTATTTTTTATTAGATGTTATTCATATTTTATAGCAGTAATATTTGTAAAAAGAAATTAGCATTTATGAAATTTATTATAAATATATTAAGAAAATGTATTGTTAAATAATAATTTTAAAAGTGAAGTTTCATATTAACAAACGATTTTAGTAGAATTATGATTGATTACAATCAAATGCATGCGATAATATTGACTAACATTTTCTGTAAATAACTTTATAAATTCTCTTTACCAGTTATTAATGGAGTTGGAGTAGATTAAATTTTAGTATGCTTTCTTATATTATAAATATAAATATATTAATTGATTAAAAATATAAAAGACTGTTACTTTACTTAACACATTTGGAAATTTTAGACCAGCATTGGAGCTGGATCCATTCGGATCTGTTATTGTATATATTTTTTGAAAGTAGGATCCGTTATTGTCGACTCCAAACTTTTAAAATAAGTGTTTCAGACCCATATAGTCCATAAATCTGTTTCGAGTCGGATAAAATGCCTAAGACCATAGCAAACCATGCGTACGAATCCCACAAAATATGATATTCCCCAACAACTTCAAGTCGTGTTGTTTTCACAAATTATCTTTTTTGATTCAAACAAGACTAAAACACCAAGTCAATGATAATATCCGTTAAGTATCCCTCAAGATGTGGACAAGACTAACAAGACCTTGAAGTCTCTCACTCTTTTTAAACTCAAAACCTCAAAACATTCACAAGCCACATAACAACACAGCTCCCTTGATACCAATCCAAATAAACAAAAAATGAGTTCATCGAAAAAGATCACCCTCGTTATCATTCTTGTTTCGTTTTATATGTTTTCATGTGTTTCATGCACTGAGTTTAAAGTTGGAGGAGAAGGGGGTTGGATCGTACCACAATCTAAGACTGAAGGAGATATGTTTAACCATTGGGCTTCACACAACCGTTTCAAAGTTGGAGACACTGTCCGTAAGTACTCTTTTTCTTGATATAATTAATTTTCATCTTTACAAATATATATGAACCTTTTTTGTTGGGATTCTTGAATTTGATGAAGGTTTCAACTACACAAAAGACTCAGTGTTAGTGGTGTCAAAAGAAGAGTACAAGAAATGCAAGGCCACTAAACCGCAACTCTATTCGAACAACGAAGACACGGTTTTCAAACTAGACCGTCCCGGTTTGTTTTACTTCATTAGCGGTATCTCTGGCCACTGCGAAAAGGGTCAGAAGATGATCATTAAAGTCATGGAGACAGAGTCTTCGCCAGACTCTCCTCCTCCTTCATCACCTTCTTCTCCGTCGTCCTCTTCATCTCTATCTCCTCCGGCTTCGACTCATAAGAAGAGCAGCGCGTTCAAAACCTCAGTCCAGTTCAGCTGTTCTGGCGTTGTTGTCTTTACTTTTCTTGTCGTTTCTGTTTTTGGTCTGGCTTAGTTAGGATTGAGCATTTTGTTTTCTTTAGAGGTTCCATTCATCATTTAGGCTGCATCGTTCTTACTTCTTAAGTAGTGACTTTTCAAATAAGAACATTGACCGGTCTAGGTTTCAATCAACATGTTTCACTTTTCTTGTAGCCTTAATTAGGTTCTTTACATTTTCTTATAATTCAATTTCTTTTTTAGGATATCATTTTTAATGTTTTTACAAATATCATCTTCAATTTTTCGTCACAAAATAACATTTTATAGCATATATTATACTAGTTGTTAAATGTTAGAAAGAGAAATTTTATTATATATTTCCAAAATAGAGTAGAACATCAAAACTATATCACATTTGAGTATACTACATGAATGTGTAATATTGAATAGATTTAAATTATAATTTATGGAATATAGTATAAAATTTGTAATTATATATGTCTGTTTTTAAATTTCAAAATATGTAACGTAGAGAAAAAAATCCATGTTTTTAATATGTAAACTACAAAATTAAATAATTGTTTTAACACAACTAGAAACAATTAAAATTAGAAGGGGAACATGCTTTTTCTGAACATTGGATTTCATTTTGAAGTAAGGCACTATAACAAAACAGTTTGGAGGTAGAACACCCGAAACAAATGTAACAACAAAAGCATTAAAACAACAAAAGATACCAATAGATACCATCAAAGGCTAGTATAGAACACTCCAAAAGAGACAAAGCTGATCTTATGGAGAGCGATCAGAAACATGAAAGAGAAGAAGACCCATTATTAAATATGCAAGTATGAGCTCATATGAGGGTCCTATCTTGAAGGTGGTGACATGATTTAACCAAATCGGATCACCGCATGCTAGTAAACGTGATCAGAATCACAATATTAATTATTTCCAACTAGATACCAATCGTTTTCTCATGAAAACTCACAGGAGGATGAAGACCAAAACCTTAATCAGAATTTATAGGTTGTAGTAACCAATAGTTATTTACATTTGACTAATCATATATTTTTTGTGTCATAGATTCAAATTTCCTTTATTTTATCAACCGTTTCAAACACTATCCATACATTTAAAAAACAACTTCATGAAATTTGCAAAAACAATATTATGATAATTTAGGACCAACACTGAAGTAACAACTTTAATTTTGACACACACACAATAATTTAATTTCTGTTGATCCAATACAAAGCTGTCACCATACTTTAAGGGTGGGAATGTATAAATGCTCTTACACACAATTATCTACTAATTTTTGGTAGTGGTTTAGTGATAGAGCAGCTAAGAGAGAACGGGTAGTAGTTTAAAATGGAATACAAGACAAAGACTGACTCAGCATACGCACATATATTAACTCAAACAAAAGACTTTACTCTTTCAAGTGTTCCTCATATCTTGAACCTGGATAGATGCGAATTTCCATCGAGGCCTTTCTCAAAATATCCCTTCGAGTATTCTTCCAAAGTGAAGTCTCTGTATTTTGAAGGGTTTTCTTCAGACAGAAGCTCTTTGATTGGTCCGTAAACCGTTGAATTCGGAAGCATATTTGTGGTGAAAAAGCTCGCTACAGATATCCTCGGTCCAGCTCTGTTCGCAAGCACCCTATGCTCCACGCTGATGAACTTGTCATTCGTTATTAGCTACATAACAAAGAGATTCTCAGCAAAATTGCATTGTTATATTGTACTTAATAAAAGTTTCCCAAATAATATATTGCCTGTAAGAAATCTCCAATGTTGATGACGAGCGCTCCTGGAAGAGGAGAAACATCGAGCCAACAGTCGTTATGAAGAATCTGAAGACCACCGATTTGATCCTGAAGAAGAATGGTGATGAAGGAGGTGTCGGAATGATTACTTGTGCCCAAAGTTAGGTCGGGTTGTGGACAATGAGGATAATAATGGCCGAGCACTGACAAACCCTTCATGCAATCCATGCTTTTAAGAATCTCCGAGTGTAAACCAAGAGCTTCTGAGAGAAGCTCAAAGAGAAAACCACCTAAGGTCATCATATGCTTCGAGTACTCAATTATTGCATCCCTGAGCCGCCAGTGATGTCATGTTACAATCAATGAGAAATTTCAATTTTATCACAAGTTTGATACTCCCTCTGTTTTTAAATAAGTGTCATTTTGACTCTTTGCACATAAATTAAGAAAATTGTATAATAAACTAATATATCCCTATTTAATGTATGTTTAATTAAATAAAAATAATTTAAGTAAAATACTATTGGTTATTCAAAAGGGTAAAAAAATAGATTTAATGTACAAAATTACATTGGGATTGTAGAATGACACTTTTTTGAAACAAAATTAAAAGGCTAAAGTGACACTTATTTAGAAACAGAGGGAGTACTATTTTCAAATTTATCTTTAAATAATAGTAATTTTCATAAGTATTTTAAATTTGTGATAAAAGAAAATAAATTAGCTCTTACTAATCACTAGGTAATAACCCGCGCCTTGCGCGAAATGAGATTATTATTTTTGTTACTTTTAAGATAAAAATGATATCATGTTTGTTTAGCATGGATATTGTTTCAGTTTTACGTTGTTTTATTTAATGTCCTAAAATATAACTATCATTCTAAATCTATATTTATTTTGGTTTGTTTAGTTTAAATGTTTGATGTTTTTAATTTTTTCGATGATAACCAAAAACTATTTTTATTTGTTTGGTTTCGTTTTATATAAATTTTAGACATTTTTTTATGTTGAACTAATAGTTTCCTATTGTAATTTATAAAGACGTGTAAAATCAAATAAAATCTTAATAATATTTTCAAAAAAAAAGAAAAAAAAAACTATTAACATATAACATTTCACTACAATTTGAGCGCTAGTGAAAGAAAACATTAAAAAAAGATTCAACTTCAGTAAGCATTAAAATCCTCACTTGTGGTGAATATTTAGTTATATAGTCACTCATGTCAATGCATGTGTACATATATGTATATGTAAAAGTATATAAATGTGATGATAAATATATGAATATACCATTAATTAAGATTTAAAACAATTTTCTTCAAAACAACACATGATAGTAAATTCTTAAATAAAATTAAGTAAAAATAAAATAAACCTAGAAATTAATAACATTTTTTTTATATTTAGAAAATCAAATTGTACCCGTAAAAAAATAAAAATAATATAAATTATAAAGTGACATCTTCACTTGGTACATGAATTCTGGTTTTAATTAATTTGTGATTTTTATTTCTTTTTAAAGATTTTCTGATTTCTAATTTTTTCTACCAATTTGATTTTGTTTCTAATTCTTGGTCTGATCTGATAACTTTACAAAATGTTAATATTTGACTAAACTAAAGATCCGACTTTACGTGTGGTATTTTTCACCTCATCTTCTTTAATTCATAATCAATCACCTTATTTGTTGTTATTGTGTACCGAAACCTCAAATATGACCAACTTCGGCAAGGTACAAAACTTCAATTTCTATAAATATTTTCATCGCAACATTTTAGTTGATGCTAATCTTAATGATTTTGTATTTTTTTTACAATAAATATATTATTCATTAGTTTCACATAGAAAGTTTTAATTTATTAATACAAAAGCTAAAAATGTAGGAAATGAATTAATTAAAAAATAGTGTATAAACACATTAAATTATGAATTTAAAAAATTAGTGTGTGAACGCATTTATTATTAAATGATTGTGAGATCGACACATATCAATTATGGTGTGAACACATTTATTACAATGCTTCTCTTTTAATATATAAGGGATTTATAAGTTTAAAAATAACTAGATTTTGAGCCGCTCAACCGAGCGGGTGTTTAATTTCGTTTATAAATATGTATATATTTATTTACATCATTATTGGTTATTATTATTCATATGTTTAATGTTTATAAAAGATTCTAAAATATTTTGTTAGAATTCTTTTTAAAACATATATTTTATTTCAAATAAAAGAAAATATATCAAAAGATATTGTAACTAAGTCAAATAAAATGTTATTAAGATATATATGAAATATTACTTTCTAGGAATGGTCCATTTTTAAAAATATCACACATGAAGAGAAGTCAATATAATAAATTTATAAAACATTGATAAATGTTTATAAACCTAACTCCACCCCTAAATACTAAAATCCTAAACAATAATCACTAAACCTTAAACCCAAAATATTATGGTATATTTGATTAAGTGTATTCTAAGAAATTTTTGTTGAGTGAATATATCAAAGAATTTTGAAGAGAAAACAAAATTAACTCAAAATATACCTGCAAGCCAATGGGAGGTCTTCAGGATTTGGAGGATCAGGAGCCATACAACAAACGAAGGTATCTCTCCAGTTAACACATAAAGAAGAAGAATTGTACAGATCAAAATTACTATTGTAGACAAAACTCTTGGTGACGTCACGCGTGAAGTAAGATTTCTTGACTTCAAGATCTTGCTCAAAAAAACTACGAACTCCACCTTGGATCTCTTCAATAACGCTTAAAGGAACGCCATGATTGATCACCTGGAAGAATCCCCACTTCTCCGCTGCCTCTTTGACCTTCTTGACAGTGCCTTCTCGTGACACATGAACGTCTGCAAAGTCGATAATAGGGATCGCGGAGGCAGAAACAGAGGGTTTCTTGTCGGATAAGGTACCTTGTGGGAGACGGAAGATACGAGGAACCTCAGTGATGTGAGCATCTACTAGACCTTTAACCCCTGCCTTGGTCTCGTCGAAAGCTTTGCGCTCGTTGTAAGAGTCCAATTCCATATTTGTTCTTTTAAAATTTCTCAGAAAGGCTGCGTCATATATATAACAAAGAAAAAGAAGAAGGTTATACGTAATCTGGATCTTGATGTGACTTGACGTTTTCGTTCTTGTGGTCGATAAGTGATTAAAGGGAGAGGTATACTAGTCTTTGTTATGATCATGCGGTGAAGGAAAAGATAAGAGAGGCCTATAGCAACGACAATCCATGGTTGAATATTTGGTCTTTCGTGTGTGGTAACGACAATGACCGTTGATGACGTTTGCAGTTTTTGTTGGCCGTGTGATGTCAGCATAAACATTCACAACCAGGAAAAATATAAACGAACGGGTTGAATAATCCTCCTCATATTGGAGGTTTTTCTGTATTTTCCACAAATACTTTTATCAACTAATCATCTTAGTTTAAACCTCATTTTTTTCTGAATTCGATACAATGAAAGTATTGGAAGTAATAAGTAATCTAGGAACCTTCTAATAGGAAGTTATCTATTATGGATTTTTACCGTTTGTTTTTCTGTATTTTCCACAAATACTTTTTATCGACTAATAATCATAAAAAAACTAATAATCTTAGTTTAAAACCTCATTTCTTTCTGAATTTGATAGAATGAAAGTAGTGGAAGTAATGTAGAAACTTCCTAGTAGGAAGTTATCTATTATGGATTTTCACAGTCTGTTTTAGGCCTGGACATATTATCCATAATCCGAAACCGAACCCGAACCGAAAAACCCGAACCCGACCGGTTATGGATCTTTTAAAATACCCGATCGGTTTGATATTCTGATACTATAGTTATCGGGTTCGGGTTCGGTTTAATCCGATATCTGAAATAACCGATTATATGTATAATGTACAGTAAGTATATACATGTATTAATCATTATTTGATTTTGACAATTTCCAAGAAGGCACAACCACGCTTTGTTATTTTCAATTCTAAGACAACTAAGCCTAAACACAACCACACCTTTCATAATAACATTATGGGCGATTCCTCTTCTTCTTAGTTTCAAAAACCTAATCTCCTATTAAAATAAGGTGTTTGATCGAAGAGTATATTCAGAAACACAAACAAGCAATTCTCTCTATCTCCTCCACCATCTTTGATTTCAAGAACTCAATCCGAGGTAAGGACTTGATTTTCAGAAATCAATCTGAGTCTTATGTGTCATATGAATCATAGTAATCTGTTTGCGATTTTGTCTCAGTTTGTTTTCCATTTTAAAACTTTATGTTGCTATTATCGGTATTAGTGTGTTGTTGCAAACATTTTTACTAAGTTTGAGTTTATTAATTTTGAGAGACATGTTTCTTAGTTCTTACCTAGTCAACTTATGAGTGTTTGTTTATTTGTTTTCTTTGAATTTTACTTCAGTTAATCCGAAACCGATACAGTAAAACCCGAACCCAAATGATATATGGTAACTTCAGTATAATTCGAACCCGAACCGAAACCGATGTGTTATATCCGATCCCGATCCGAATTTAAAATTTTTTTAAAATGGGACCTAAGAGGTGTTACAAAAAAGAATCAATATCCGATATACTCGATCTGAACCCGAACGGGTACCCGAACGGGAACCCGAACGGGTACCCGAACGTCCAGGCCTAGTCTGTTTATAAAAGAATGCTCGTAAGATTTGTGAAATACAAACCAAAATGTATTATATAAATATTTTTTTAATAAAACTAGTTGATTTAAATATATATATATATATATATATATATATATATATATATTATAGGATTTAGATACATTGCATTATATGTTTATAGGCATCCGGATCCTCGGGTCGGGTTCGGATCGAATCTTGTCGAGCCTAGATCTTTCGGATTCTGAAATTTGGACCAATATAGCTACCTATAATTTTTTTGGGTCGATTCCGGATCGGATCCTGTCAAATCCAAGTCGGTTGGGATCTATAATCTCAATATCCATAAAATATCTATAATTTTGGGTATATTTTGGATATGGGTCGGTTTTGGTAGATACAAAAAGGATCCAAAATACCCAAACTGGATTCAAAAACCTAAAAAAATACCATAAAACTTTAAAAATATCCAAAGAACCACAAAAATACCCGAAAATTTATTCAAAATTAGACTCAAAGACCTAAAATCTCCAAAATTTTGTCCAAATACTCGAATTATATTTTATCTGAAAATTTTACCCGTGGATACCCAATCGGATTTTGTGTAGACCCAAACCCGAACCGAGACCCACTGATCCATTAAAAGATCCAACAGGTATTTTAGCATAGACTTTCAAATTTTACCCATGGATACCCGATCGGATTTTGGGTAGACCCACACCCGAACCAAAACCCATGGATCCTAAACCTATATTTTTGGATCAGTTCCGGGTAGAAATAAAATGGCAATGACTAATATGTTTAAAAGTTTATATATATATATATATATATATATATATAGTTGTATGTCACTCAATAATAACACAATTTAATAATACTCTAGTTCTTATAACAACAAGAACAACCCATAGATCTGAAGTATTACAATAAACATTTCAACTAATGTTTTAAAGAAAAAAAAACTCAATATTGTTACTCTTTAAGACAAAAGCCCCTTAATAGAGAAATTGCACTCTATAACTACAACAAAAATTAAAATTAGGTCAGTAACCAAAAATCTCCTTCTCTCTCTTCCTCTCTCTTCCTATCTCTCTCTTCCTTCTCTCTAAAAATCTAATTTTATTTTTTTTATGGCTAAACCACAAATAAGCCCAACTCAATATAGCAACGACAACCAATGGTTGAATATTTGGTCTTTCGTGTGTGGTAACGACAATGACCGTTGATGACGTTAGCAGTTTTTTGTTGACCGTGTGAATCTGTGATGTCAGCATAAACATTCATAACCAGAAATAATAAAAACGAACGGGTTGAATAATTCTCCTCATATTGGAAGTTTTTCTGTATTTTCCACAAATACTTTTATCAACTAATTATCTTAGTTTAAACCTCTTTTTTTTCTGAATTTGGTAGAGTGAAAGTATTGGAAGTAATCTAGGAACTTCCTAATGGATTTTTACAGTATGTTTTTCTGTATTTTCCACAAATACTTTTTATCAACTAATAATCATAAAAAAAAAACTAATAATCTTAGTTTAAACCTCATTTTTTTTCTGAATTTGATAGAATGAAAGTAGTGGAAGTAATCTAGGAAGTTCCTAGTAGCCTAGTAGGAAGTTATCTATTATGGATTTTTACAGTCTGTTTATAAAAGAATGCTCGTAAGATTTATGAAATCCAAATAAAAATATATTATATTAATATTATTTGGTTAAAACTAGTTGATTTAAATATATATTTTAAGATTTAGAAACATTATATTATATGTTTAAAATTTTATAATATATAATTGTATGTCATTCAATAATAACAAAATTTAATTCTCTAGTTCTTATAACAACAAGAACAACCCCTGATCTGAAGTATTACAAGAAACATTTCAACTAATGTTTTAAAGAGAAAACAAAACTCAATATTGTTACTCTTTTAGACAAAACTTGGTGGACTTCATGCCTCTTTAGGTGTGGACTTGCCTTTGCCATAGGGACTGTAAGGAGAGAAGCCATTGCGACCTTGCTGATTCCTCGCCTTCCTCACCTTCCCAGCTCCACTTTCTATGTTCAGATGAACTTTTGGCGGCGAAGAGAAGCAGAACGATAAAGCAACCGCCTGTGACAATACAAGACAAAAGAAAATATGAAAACCTGGTTTGTCTTTCTAACCTTGCAAGAACAATAGTTTATTTGTCTGTGAACATTACCTGAAGATCAAGTCGGTGAACATTAAAGATGTCTTTCAGAGAATGCGAGTTGTACGCTGCGATATAAGCCCTGTATGCATCCTTGGCTATCTTGTTCAGATTATAGTCGTTGGCAACATATTTCTCCTGCAGGACAAGAGCCAGAAACGATGTTATTACAACATATCCAATTACAAATGGGAAGTTATTCACAGAACATAAGAATCAGAACTATTACCAGAGCAGATCGAACATTCAAAAGCTTCTTCTCATTGAACTCAAGCTCTTTTACAGGTACTTTTGCAGCCTGCACGTTAAAATACCAATCAATAAAACAAGTAGGTTTAGCTTTGATTGATCTCTCTTTCCTCTCAGTTATACAGTTCATAAGAATGAATCCCAAAATAATTCAAACCTTAAGGTAACGAATAAACTGAAGCTCTTCAGGGATCAAGACAAGCAATGCCTTTCCCTTAGCTCCTTCTCCACGGGCTGTTCGACCAACCCTATGGATATATTCCTGAAAACACCATCACCCACCAACAATGTAAGATGAACACAAACAGACACAGAGAAGATATAGAAAAACCAGAGAGAAGTATTTCTCTTACCGTTGGCTTGTCTGGAGGATCATACTGTATAATCCAGTCCTACATATAATAAGACCCAACACAATAAGATTTCAGTAAATACAAGTATTTGAGTATATAAGAGCGTTAATAAACAATGCCGGAAGCTAGTGTGGATACGTACCACGGAAGGAATATCGAGACCACGAGCAGCAACATCAGTACACAACAAGATACCTTTCTCTGCTTTCATAAAGTCGAAAAAGGTTTTAGTTCTTCGGTTCTGATCAAGTCCTCCATGGATGTCACAGCTCTCCACGTTGATTAGTTTCATGATTTCGGCATGGAATTGTACAGACTTGCACGTCGAGAAGAAGACCATTATTTTCTTGTTTAGGTTCTTTTTCAAGAAAGATATTAGTAGGAGAAGTCTTTTCTCGCTCGGAACAACGCAATAGCCTTGCTCCAATCCTTCATTTGTTACCTAACAGTTTCGGAAACTTATTAAGTAAAATCTACATGGCATGCTACTTGAAATTTTTATGACCAGAGTGTTTTTTGATTCATACCTTGCGTCTACCATCATCGACATCAACAAGAACAGGAGATGTCAATGACACCCTGGCAAGATCTTGAACCTGCAGTGATTCACCAAAAGAGTAAGCAAAAAGTAACTAATAGTGACAATACCGCAGCTAACAGAAAAATACCTTGGAGGTCTGAGTGGCAGAGAATAGTGCGGTTTGCCTAGTCTGCAAAAACATTGTAAGAGCTTTAATCAGTACAAAATCCGAACCATACTAATGCCATATAATCTGTCTAGACATTTAAACATACATAATCCAACAATAGTATTTACTATTTAGCCAGTGGGTTTTGGCTGAGGATAATAGCAATACGATGGCATGTTGCTTAAAGGAAAGGAATCTCAAACTAAAAGGTTTGAATAAGTCTAGTTTTCTCATTCTTCATTAGATAAACCATAATTAAGACACAAAGAGATAACTTACCTTGGGTAAAATCTTTAGAATCTTATTCATGTCTTCCTCAAAATTTTCTTCCAGTATTCTATCAGCTTCATCAATCACAAGGCACTGCAATTAAAAGGAATATATAAAAAAAAAATTCATTAGAATCATATAACTATTAGTACGACTACAACAACAAGCCAAAAATCTAATTATAAAACCAAACATTCTGTAGCTTCCTTCTCTTATTCTATCACAGAGGAGACAGTATGAACACAGCAAAAGCTGCTGTCTACAGTTCATCTATTACTTAAATTGTTTGTCTTTAATAAAAAATGTCCATGTGGGTGAACAGTTAGACTTTTCAACTGTAAAAGAAGACAAGAATATTTGCCAGTTAGAACAAGGAAACGGACAGTACATTCAGGTGTTTATAAATGAAACCCTTTGTATGTTGAAGATGGTCAAGAAGACGCCCAGGAGTTGCAATCAGCAAATTTGAACCATTCGCAATACGTTGTGCCTCCGACCTTCTGTTATTTCCACCAATAACCATGCTGACCGTCAGTGAATGATGCTTGAGTAGCTCCTCCGCCACATTCTTTGTCTGAAATATCAAAAACAGTACAGTAAACATAGGAATGAGAGGCGGCACTAACATACAACAATATTCACACTTTACAAAACCAATGCAATTACAATGAGACCCTCTACATGGAGGATGAGAACTTCACAGAGTTCTTCTACACGGCGCATTGCAAAAATTACAGGACTTTATATACTCATAAAGACAGTATGGTAGATAAAGAAGGAAATTTACCTGGATAGCAAGTTCTCTTGTGGGGCAAATAACGATGACACCAGTCCCGTTGCGAGGAGAGAAACGCTCTTTAAACAGCAACTCTACAGCGGGTATGAGAAAAGCAAGGGTTTTACCAGAACCAGTCCTGGCAGCACCAAGAACATCTTTTCCCTCCAACATGGGAGGAATAGATCCAGCTTGAATCTAGATAACAACAAATGATTAAGAGACTTATAAACAAACCAGTATTCCACAATAAACAATTCTGCAAATCTGGTCTAAACATCAGAAAAAAGGTTCAAGATTTACATACTTGGGTCATGTGCTCAAAACCCATCGTCTTGATAGCTTCAAAAGTCTGCTCTGATAACTCAAGAGATTCAAAAGTCTCATTGGTCATTATCCCTTTCCCAACAACCACCATCTTCTTCTCTTCTGCTTCTTCTTCGTCCTTTGCTTCCACATCTTCTTCCTCAGTTTTGCCACTCTCCTGAGGCTTCACTTTTTTAACCTTCTTTTCTCTCTTGTTCTTGACTTCATCTGCTTTTTCCTCTACGTTGTGTGTTTCATCTTCTTCAGCCCTTTGAACCTCGTTCTTCTTCCCACGGTTTCGCTTTCTTATCCTCTTCTTCACCTCATCACTGGAGTTTTTCTCCACCTCAACCATGTCTGAGCTCTAAATCACAATCCACCAATTCTCTGCAGCAAAAATTACAGAATATAAATAAATGAAAAACACAAAACAATTGAGTTTAATTATATATCTCTGAACTGAAAGAGGGTCAGTTCCAAAACAGACAAAACCAAAGGTTATACAACATAAAATCCGCAAAACAGGTTCTGTATCCGTAACTATTAATCTCTAAAACCGTGGATTTAGATTCTAAAAATCGAAAACTTTAGGGATTGTTTACCAAACTAAAGGTGAGTGGAAGATTGTAAGAGCTCGTGTATTACAGTAGAAAAAGTAAAGTTATCATCTTAACAATACAGAGCTTAATACTGGGAAAGAGACTTACATGTAGAAACGAAACCAGTCCAAAGGATTCGAAGAGAAGGCGGCGCAGAGAGACAAGACAAGAGAGAGGTTTAGGGTTTAAACGAGTGTTGGTAACAAGTTCTTCTTATTGATTTATGTTTCTGGCTGTATTAGAATAATAATTTTTCATAAAGTTACAATTTGTAATTAATACATAATATAGGGACTAGCAATAAGAATAAAATATTGAGAGGGCAAAGTAAATTTCATTTCTCGCCGCTGTGTTGAGTTTTCTTCTCTTTCTCCCTAACTTCCGATCAAAATTATCACGGCGTCTACCGTCGCTAACGGTGTCATTCCTTAACGGTAGATTGCTCCTTAAAGAAATATATATATAGAGAGAGAGAGGGAAGGAATTTGATTATCGGTGGATATAAAGACGGTCAACCCTAAACACATGTGAAGAATCTGATGCCTTGTTATCGTCTTCAAGCAATCTCGGATTGATAAAAACTGAGAAAACCATACGAACAATCTGTCAGATCTTTGTGGAAAGACCGTATCTTTAAGGGAGTTGATGGTTCTGATCTGCGAATCAACAACGTTGAACCTCCTAGCCTATGATTAGAGATTTCGAATATTCTCTTTTTGCGTTTGGGTTTGTTTCTATAAAGAAGAGCTTTTGAGTTTTACTCTTGCGTGTGGGCATTTCAATAACTCTTGTTAATCTCTGAGGAAGCCATGGAAGAGTCTTCCCAGGTTAGTGGATCTATGCCTGAGAGTTTGTCTACAATCTTGATTCTAGTTTTACCACCGGTTTAGTAGATCAAGGTGCACTTAGATTTTGATGTCAATAGGATCTTCTTTTAAATTAGGTTCGGATTATATAACTGGAGAATACATACAGAACAAAAAGAGTGCAAAGTTCATCAAAGCTGGCGATATATATGATGCAATGCAACTTCTTTATATCTGAGCTAAAGGGACTTGCTTCAGTAATGGAGAAGGTTGTAGCTTCGTAATCATTAGAGAGGAACATTATAGAGTTTAGGCAATCATGAAGCTGTGATGTCTTTGTGGTATTGTGTGTGCTAGTGATAGTTGGGTGACCATTTCATAGGTTTTGGAAATATAACTGTTACTTTCTTTTTTGCTTTCTCCAGGGGAGTTTTGTTGCAACCATAAACGAAGAGTATGAAACAATTTGCTGGGGCTGTGGACTTAACCTTGTTCTTCCTTCATACGCACCTGTTTTCAAGTGTGGCTGGTGTGGTGCCATCACCAATCAGAATCCAGTCAGAGTTGAAACCAGAAACTTTGGGTTGAGACGGTTCCGTGACCGCTGCTTTGTTGTTATTCTTGCTGTCTTTATGCTCTTTGTCATATGTAAGTTACTCTTAAGTAGTCCAGAAGAATTAACACAAATTTTAGAAATGGTATACTCATTTTGGAAACAAACTGTAGGTGGTGGGATTTGGGCAGCGTTTCCAGTCATGTTTTCGATCAGCTTGGCTTGTGGGATTTTCCATTCTGTTACAGCAGTGTCTCTAGCGATATCAACATTATCAACCTTCATTCTTGTTGCTTTTAAGTGCGCCGGGAAACCGATTGATATTGTTTATGGAACCCACCCTGGAGTAGGGAGCGGCGCACTTAACAACTATACCTTTTGTCCCCACTGCTCCAAACCAAAGTCACCTAGAACCCATCACTGTCGCACCTGTGGCATGTGTGTCCTCGACATGGATCATCATTGTCCCTTTGTAAGTCTTATGCCCCTTCACATATAACTTGTGTCCTTATTTTATTGGTTAAGAGCTCACGGCTAATGACTCTCTTTTTGTTGTATCATTCATAGAGTACTTGGTTACTAGACTTGCTTATCTATACCTTAACATGTGTCTTAAGGCTAATGACTCTCTCCATGTGTTGTATTTTCAGATTGGTAACTGTGTTGGTGCAGGTAATCACAAAAACTTCATCGCTTTCCTTATCTCGGCCGTCATAAGCACAATCTACGCTTCGGTTATGTGTGTTTATACCTTGATTCATATCTTGCCACCACTGGAAAACCAAGCAGCGTATGCATCCGACATTGCACATGCTAATAGTTTATCGGTTCTGGGAGTGGTGAAGAATATCATGCTTGCTTACATAGCGAACGCTCTCTTCTTCTCTGTTCGAGGCCTTGTTCTGGTATACCTCTTTGTGGCGAGTTTTTCAGTAGCGATTGGGCTGAGTATTTTGCTATGGCAACAGCTTAGCTATATCTATGAAGGCAAAACATACTTAAGCCATTTAAGTTCTCAGGGAAGTGAGGAAGATGGTGAAAAGAGCTGCGGGAATCTATTGACGTTTTTTGGATGTCCGCTTTTGATTGAAAGGTATTTGCCAACTGTAAGGAACTTGAGGAAGAGACATAAGACATAAGAAGAGAATGGTGAGGTGAAGATGTTTGTTCTGTTTCCTCGTGCAATATTTGGAGCTTGTTTTTGGTCATTCAGGATACATTAATCATATACTTGGAGCTGACAGGTTAATGGATATGAGCAAAGTTTGTATCAGGTTTTTGCGAAAACTCGTGTTCATAGAATATGGTACATTTTTGTTTCAAGATTGTAAATTTCTGTTTTCCTGACATGCCTTGAATTAAAATCTCTTTACCACTAATCAATGACTTAAAGACTGTGGTTTAGTGCAGCCCAAAGCTATATTTCATGCATTTGTACATGCTTTTTCAACTTATTCATACTAGCAACAAGGGGAAGCTCAACAATTAAGCGGCACTAATATTATAATACAAGCCATTCTGCAAAGACAACAAAATGAAACGGTTTGCAACTACTTAGTCATACTCATGGTACACCTTTAACAGCGTTTTCTAGTGCTCTAGGATTCACAAAAGGGATGAATTGTAACTGTTAAATCGTTGGGCTCTGTTCTGCAAAAAAAAAAAAAAAGGTTGGCTTCCGAAGGAACACTCATACTCCGTCATGGTCTCAAAAGATGAAACTGTATTACAGTAACATGGGAGTCCAGTTTAAGTTATGTCTTCTTGACTTTGCTGACATATGCCTGAAATTGAAGACAAACAAAACAACGGTTATGGCAATGTTGATTAAATTCTCGAAAGCAAAATTTAAGGTTTATTATATGTATACGAAGGAACCTGGACGAGCTTGGTAAGCTTTGGTTTGGAAGCAGATAGATAATAGTCAATCTTCTCCTATGTTTCATAGAAGATTCTGAACGCAAGGCCTCTGCAATGGTTGTGTAAGCTGTGGAATGGAGATGTCCATTCCCAAGAAACTGGCGCCATTTTGTAACTGAATCAGCTACCGGTTTCTCAGTAATGGGTTTGTCACCACCATATGAAAGCACACCACTACTTCTCTGATCATAGTTGGTAACTAAACTCTCTTGTATCAACTGGAGATGGCCAATAATGTCAACACCAGGCTCTTCCTTCATGTGGTTTTTTCAAGTTATGAGCAGTGAGCATCATACGAGGCCTGTTTTGAAATATGACTTCTTCCCCAACCACTCATTTCAACGCCTAAGGCTTGTTAACTAGTTAGCACCAAATGTCACTCTAAAAAAAAATCTGCAGCAACAATGTTAATAAAAAGAGGTAAAAAGAAAAGTGGTATCCAACCCGAAAACCCTATATAGATCCGAATCGAATCCGAATGGGTACAGAGTTACAAACCCTAACAACAAGCTTCCTTCACTTCTAGGGTTTCTAGAGACGGCTCGAATATACGGCTATAAATAAAGAAGACAGAACAGCAACACTTTATTGTTCGTAGCTCGAAGCCAGCTGGATATTTTTGTACTTTTGTTCCATTTATCATTTTCATTTTTTCTTAACCTTTTAATGCAAGTAATGATGAGTAGTGAGACAAGCTAAAGTTATAAAAAGGCTTCCATAAATGGTTTTATTAAGCAAACATTAATGCTTACACATACTCATTCTTAAGAATAAAAGCGGAAAAGAGACACTCAAGGAGATATTAATAGACACAAAAACAAACTCACATACTATTTTAGTTAGTCACTTTGCATATAGCTGCTAATATTCTGACATACTTAAAAAGACAGATTGATAAATATAATATTATGCTTCTAAGTTATCAAATCTCATAGAGAGGTCTGAAATTCTCTGTTGACCGATCTATGTATTGATAAACCGGTGGTGCTTGAACAAGCTGATGATGCGGAAAACCATTGGTGTTATTGTTGCTGTTGTAGCCGCACATGTCCATGTTCTGAAACCCATTAATCCCAGTTCCTTGCCCCGAAAGTAACCCAGAATAATCTTCCATATTATTGATGCTGTTGATCCCAGTTTCTTGTGCCCCAGGGAAGCCAGAGAGATCTTCCACTTTGAAACAATTCTGATAAAACTGGTTAGGATAAAGATTAAGACTGTTGGTGTTGAAGCCGTTGTAAGGTACCATGCTCCTGCTCAGAACCTCATTCAACCCAGTTTCTTGTGACCCAAGTAACCTTGAGTAGCTTTCCATATTCGGATCCTGGTATAAAGTTAGTGAATCCGGAACCGGAGCCAGGGGATAAGCTTGGTTAGAAGCTGATGTCGAGGCTTGGATTTGCGGTAATGAACCGTTTCTAGGGTTGAACACATTCATTGAAACCTGGTTTGAATGTTGTTGAATCATATGTTCTTGAGCAGCCATGTTCCTCTGTCTCTGAGATTCAACAACAGCTTGAAGCCTATGTTGCATCATGGTTTGCTTACGCTCCAAGGACTGAATCAGCTCCTCGAGTTGTTCCTCTGAGTAATTATCAAACCTAGAATCCCAATCTGGATACTTGTAACTGGATTCAACTTTCACTCTCTTCTTCTTCTTGTTCTTCTTGGAATCTTTCTTGTTGATCTCCTCAAGAAACTGATCAAGATCAACTTGTTTTACGCGTCGCTTCATCTCGCTTAGTTCACTGTACCTTCGAGCCATGTCTTTGACCTTCTCTCTATCTTCAGGCCATGTTTTGAGCTCTCCGTATGATCCGTAGTATATGACGCAGACTTCGACTCCGCAGAGGATTGAAAGCTCGTTAGCTTTCTTGAAGACATTCTCTAGTCTGTTAGTTAAGCTTTTATCTTCTGCAGAAGAGGGTTTCTTGAAGAGGGTTTGACGAGTTTGGGAAGCTTTAGTGGGTTTGGGCGATGAGGACGAAGGGAAAGAGGACGACGAAGAAGCCATCGTTGTATGTTTTGTGTTTGTAAGTTTCAGTTGAATAAAGAGTTGTGATTATTGTTTCAATGTGTTTCCATATATAGAGAACATATTAACAGAAAGATCATAAAAGATTCTATACGATTCGGTTTCCTTTTTTCGTATGATTTTTTCTGTTTATTAATTTCGATTCTAGACGCGTGTTTATGTTTCTAATATGGAAATATTGGTATTTTCGCTAAATAATAAGGCAAGTCTTTGTGGTTAAAAATTAAAAAAAAGTTAAGGCAAGTCTTTACATACATGTTGTATGTACAATGTATACTTGCGACACAAGTTACGTTACACAAAGATCGAATAAAGTTTTTGTTCTTTGAGAAAAAGGCTTTCAGCTAAAATGCAATATCAATAAATGAGAATGGTGTATATAAACTGTTTAAAAAAAAACTCTAGAAAAAAATGGTTATACATCCAATAGATTTATAAAGTTTTACACAAGTCACTAATAAAATATAGTTTTGATCAAAAAAACATTTATTAGTTAACTGGATTAACAGTCCAATAGTATATTTTCAAAAACTTTTAGTATACACAATAACATTTTAAATCACAATTAAATAACCAAATAAATAGGAGGAGAAAACATAAAAAACCAAAGAAAAAAATGAATTTTTGTTGTGAAATAAGAAGGTTTGTTGTAACTCTCATTGTATTATTAATCACGTGGTTACACATATATATATACATACAAGAGAATAAAGCATATTCCTTAGGAGATAAGGATTGCTACAAATAAAGGGGATGATTATCCTAATCCTATAATGATTAGGATAACTACAACATATGGATAAATACAAGGAGGATAAGTACAANTGAAACTCCCCCTGATGAATACACCACTGACGTGTGATCATCTTGGAACTTCTAGTGTCTCTTAATGTCTTCTGGAACTCCATTAAGACATGGTCATGTCGTGCCTCTCATGCTACTGACCATTCTATGTCCTGGTTGGACTGATTTCCTTGTCGGACTGGTGTCCTGGTCGGATGGTACTTGACCAGTTCTTGGATGGACTTATGATCTGCATACAGCCATTGTTTGCAGGCCCATCTCATATCCTCTTATGTCCCACGGATCCACTAATCATATGGCCTAGCCATTTCGTGGACATACTATATAGAGTCATAGACCAAAACATATATGAACCATCCTTAGGTTCTCATGGACACTCCTAGTCCATTTGGTCATACACCAATTGTATGGGCTAATGGCCTTGTCCATTTTGGTCGATATCCTTTCCTATCCTTTGGGTAAGTTCATGTTGGGTAATAGACCTTAACTATCACGTCCATAACCTTATGAGTTACCTCACCAAGTTGCTGCAATGAATATTATGATCACATCAAACCATGGATCTGCAGCAAATGCTCATGGACCTTTAAACATGACTTTATCGACCTTTCTTGCCTTTAGCAATACCATATCCATTAGGACTTA